AAATGACGAAAGCAAAAAGAAGCAAAAGCATTGGAATAAAATCATACGCTAACAATGTTTACGAAAGCTAATGAATATGCCAAGCAAACACAACAGAAACTAAATAAAGACATTGTGTCGCAGCTTGAGCGGCATAAGCGGGAAGCGTCCTCTCGGCGTCCCAAGGCATTGTTTCGTTGTATGCGTGCGAGGATGTTGTGGTATTGTGGGGACAAGGTCGCACCAACAAATTCAGTGCGAAACCGCGAATAGTTCATAGACGATTTAACTTTATTAATTTAGAAAGTAAACTTATTCCAAGTGCAAATATTGAGGGATCATCATGAATTTGTGGCTTACTTCGACTTGTTTCGCCTTGTTTCGTTTTACTTAGGTTAACTTTGCAATCTTCGTGGTTACTATTAATAGTGTGCTTACTTATGTATGTATGTATGTATGTATGTCTGTTTGTGTGTATTAACATATATATTTAAATGAGTGATGGAATCAATCAAAGTGTAGATTTGTGTGTGCGCAGCGCAGCTCTTTTAGCGTATGTGAGTCTGAAAGGAAATGTATGAGCTTCTCACTTAGTTGAACTACAAAATCCTACAAAGCGAAATTCTGCAAAAAGAAACATATAAATCAGCTTCAAAATATTAAGTGTTTATAATTGAACTTTCTTATTTATTTATTTTTATTAAATTCTTTTTTTTTTGGAAATCCATCATGTACTGTACATCTAAGTTATCCCCATCTGAGGAAGGAGTTGAGGCCACCATTGCATTTAGGCCTAAGGTTAAGTTAGATGTTCGAATAAGTCTAGTGATGATGAAAATTATGAATATCAGGCTTTGCTACAAAACCACGTCCGATAATCTATTGAAATGATGTTAGTCAAATAATCCAACTGTATGGTTCTACAATTTTGAAACTTAACACTCCCTAAAGCAAAGCAGATGCATTGTAAGTAGATGATCGTTTCCTTTTCTTTTTCATATGTGCAGCTCCATGCATTGTACCTTATCGCGAAGAATTTGCTTGGATCTACATTGCCTGGCAAATTCAACTTTGAAAAGTTTCTCTCGATGTTCATGTGGCCAGAAAACAAAGTCTCGACCTTGGTTGTATCAGTTACTCATGTATGAAGAGGCAACTAGAGCTCTACATGTGATAGAGGCTGTTTTCAATAGCCTATCTGGTTGACAATATGAAGCTTTCAACAGCATATGAGGTCAGGAAGACACCCCCTGGTGGTAGAGCGAACATCAAAATATATATATTAAACAATTTCTTCTCTTATTGAATTTTTCGTAATTCTGATTTGTGACGCGATGAATGCCGACCACGAAAATAAATCGTGGCTCCCCTCAGCAAACATAATAGTAATGATAAGCGCTCTATTTACGATAGTTGCAATGTGTTATTGACTGTGTCAGAAGCTTTCGACAAGTTAAGTGCTTCTAGAACAAGTTCGTGTGCTAAGTCGGTTAAGGGTGAGGTTATGAGTTATCGGAATGTTTATGTCACTTTGCATGGACATTGTGCGCTGCACTTTGTGCTGCTGTTTGAGTGGATGGATATGACCCCCTTTGTAGGCGTGTTTCCCTGGATGTAGTAGCGGTTGCAACACAGCCCATCACCACATGACGGTTATCGTTAGAGACAGTTTGAGCACCTCTCACGAAGGCTAGTAGTATAGTTAAATTTACATATACAAATTTTTGGTATGGTCAGTGTGGTTAAAAGTAGGTTGAAGGCAAGCTGAACACCTTCTACGATAGCCACTTCCACACACTGGATTGAACCCGGATATTATATAGCCAACAACTATAACTTTTTCGGCAATCTAACCCTGCTTAGGCCAACAGACGATAACATCCTTCTTATCGACACACATATGCACATATGGTTTGTATTTGATTTTGTTTAAAACTCTATTATCGCTCCCCATAGCCAATAAATATAATTGCAGTACTACATTTCATCAAAGGAGCACAAGCCCTCATTCGCAGATGCATTTTAGTGCGAATAACAGGGGCTCACACTGCACGCTCGTTGACTACTCTAAAAGTCGCCACCGCTTCATCAACCAACTGTCAGAGAGCCGCCGAGCGCCATCACCATCATCATAGCCCATCAAGCAAAAGCGAAAACTTATGGTCCGGAGCGCAAAAATTTGTTTGTTCATCAAAAACATATTTCCGCCAGAGAATGTGCAATGCAACGGAACGTAAAAAAAATTATATGCAAAAACAAAAATACAAAAAACAAAATACATGGAACACCGCTCTCCCTCTGTCTCTGTCCCTCTCTCTCACTTAGTCTTCTTCCAAGTCTCTAACCCGCCACGGTGTGGTTGACTTTATATATTCTAAGCGTAAACATAATATATTTGGTTGGTTGTTGTTACTGTAGTTTTTTGTTATTGTTATTGTTGTTGTACAATGTTGTGGAATTTTTACTATAGAGATAATTCAAATGACAGCTATTTTGCGTATTTCATGTGGCTTCCATCCACTGCTTGTTCTTCTTCCGCTTTTGCCTGCTGCCACATATTTTTGTTTTTGTTTTATATTTTATGCTTTCGGTTTTTCTGCTTCTGTTAGTAAATATTTTATTTTTGTTTTACTTTTGGTATTTACTTAGTTGTTTTTTTTTTTTTTTTTTTTTTTTATACTTTCGGTTTTTCTGCTTCTGTTAGTAAATATTTTATTTTTGTTTTACTTTTGGTATTTACTTAGTTGTTTTTTTTTTTTTTTTTTGTTTTTTAGCTTTGGTATGCGCCTTTGAAGCCACATCAGCTTAGCTGAGCTGTGCTTCTTCTTGCAGTCGTGCACTCGCAGCGTATGCTTGTTGTAAGTAAGTTTAGCCGAGGCTGAGTCAACAAGTTATGTAAATTGTAACTGCCTTTGGACTTAGATGCGGACGAGACTCGGAGCTGCAGAGGTGTTGAGCGGGCGGAGTGGCTTTGGCAGTCGGTCGAGTTGATTTTGTCATATGCGGGCGTTGTTGGTGCCTGTTGTTGTTGTATGTAATTTTTGTAACGTTGGGTTATGTAAAGTTACTGTTAGATACACATACATCTACATATATGTAGGCATTCATTGCTCTTATAAATATTTTAGATTTTTACCTAAGCATTCAGCCACCAAACCAACATTAGCCGCATAAAATTTCACTTAATACACTAGTGGTAAAAATTAGAGTTTTAAAGAGCATCTTAACCGAGATAAAGAGCGAGATAGAGATAGGGAGCGAAAGAAGGGGAGAGTATTAGCGGAGAGAAAGAGAGAGGGAGAGGTAATGAGAACGGTGGAAAAGTGGGACGACAGAGAGAAAAGGAGGGATAGACAAAGAAGTGGGTAGAAAGGCGGGCGAGGGAGGGCGAAAAAGAGATGAAAAGGGATACACAGGGAGAGGGAGAGAGAGAGAGAGAGAGAGAGAAAATAACGAGTAGAGATTTTATAAGAGGCTCCAAAACCCTTCTGTTAAATTTTCAGGGCAATTAAATTTTCTGTTAAATTCTTTCGTTCTACCTCATCAATGGTCAGAGGCCTACTTCATTCAACGTCTGATATCTCATAGAAGAGTGCCATCAGTATCTGCGACAACAAATGATATTAAGGAGAGCTGCCATCTGTTTGAAATTTTTATAAATTTTTACTCATTAGTTCAATGAATAATTTGGTTGAGATCAAATTTGCGAGAACCGTTGCACAGAACGAATGTACAAGCTTATCAAAAGCCAAACAATTTTGATTTTTCTTTTTTCCCCCAAATATTTTTCTCACTACTGTACTTGTGTTTGCGCACAAATATGTTTTGCTTGTATAAAACGGTTTGTTTACCACTTAAGCGCCAGCACACAACACATTTTAGCTTTGTGCCACATTTTGTGGCAATGCTAGCATTTTTTTTGGCCTTTTCAACCAAGTTACTTACAACAAATATGATTAACATTTTGTCAAAGTGAAGGCGAAACTCCACGAACACACACTCACATATATAATACTTACGAGTATGAACTTGCATAAACAAATGTGTGAGTGTTTTCGGGTTATGATCTCTTCTCTTTTCATTTTTCCTGCGATTATTTCGCTTAACCCTAATTAATTAAATAATTCTAATAAACCAGAAACTGTCATGTAGTTACAGTTTATTGCGATTCAAAGAGCCAGATTCTATAGACTTAAGAGCAGGTCGCTACATTGCTGCAGGCCTCTGAAGTTCTAAAACATGGTGTGGCGTATTAGGTGGTTATCAATCATGTGGCCGCCGCAAGACCTTTGAAAATTTGGTTCCGTCCACTTACTCATAGCCGACCAAAGAAGAATGAGCGATCGACAAATTAAAAAATCGTCTCCGACGATGCTCTACTAATGATGCTAACGATGCAACGATCTATCAGATCGGATTCACTGAGGCCTGACTTAGACCCATTGTGGTATCACAAAGCTTAAATTATCAGGATTCACCGTCCATCCAGTTTGATTCTGTAATGAACCTCATCAGCGAAGTCTACCAGGGTCTCAAAATTAAACCTCGCCCCTGCTCAATGAAGGACAGTCGTTTGGGAGATGGCTGATCGTCTCCTCCTCTTAATTCTCCTTGCAGCTTCTGTAGCATTTTCTATAGGGAGCCTCTAGTCTTTCTGCGTGGCGTCCTTACCTTTGGACATGTCACCTCTTTCTAAGGAGTTCATATCTTGTGATCTCTTTTTATCCCGTTTCGGCCATGTGTGCTTTCAGGCAGGTTGCAATGTCATTCCCCCTTGTAGTGGCCTATTCATATATTAATTTATTGAGAAGCAGTTTGCATGTAGTAAAAGGCATACCAATGCGTTTTTTATCGGGCAGAATCTGCTTGGTCGTACCTCGCCTGGCAAGTTCATCCGCATTACAGTTTCCTTCCATGTTCCTGGAGCTTAGACCCCATTTCTTGCCTAATGCTTTTTTACACATATAAAGGGCCGTAGTAGCCTTTTCGGATCCTTGAATAATATTGTCTTTCCATTTCAGCTTCTTGTCTAAGACGACTCCAAGAAATTTAACTTTGAACGCTGTGAATACTGATGGGTTGATAGCGGTAATCTTGTACCTTCTTGTGATTAGTACGAGTTCCTCTCTAAAAACAACAACAGAAGTATAGTGCATTGAGTCGAATTGTTACTACGAAGCTTGGGTTCAAGATTGTGAGCCCGCGTCGAAACAGGGCTCCATAAAAAGGGAACAGAAACTCAGTAAGTACAGTAAGCTGGGAAACTTATAGCAGCGGTCATTTGGGACTCGGAAGGAATGTTATTGATCGAAGTATACTACATTAAAATATTACAGCTACAGAAAGAAATCTTCAGAGAGAAAAGTCGGGTTGTAGAGATTGATGGTTTGGAACGACAATAAGCCCGTCTACCAGAACCGCGTGGCATTGCCTGCCATGAATAAGATAGTCTTTGATAATTTGAATCACCCACCCCACAGCCCAGTCCTGGTCCAAAGTGATTACACTCTGTTTCCAAAAAAAAAAAAGGCTGAGGTGAAAAACATTTGCTTAATGTTGAAATCAAAGAGGGAGTTTCAGCGTATTTTGAAGAAAGAAGATGAAACATTTATGAGAGTGTTAATAAAATATATGATAGCTCTGAAAGATGTTTCCATGTTTCGCGAGTATAAAAAGCACCCTGTCTCATTTCTTGAAGAAAGCGCAACTGCAATGCAAGCAAAGTTAATAGATGATCCCAAATATAATAGAAGACAATTATATCGCTTGAGCTCCTGTTAATAAAGAACGAGAAGACAATGAAAAATTGTCTCTCAGTGTCCGATACCTTTTGAACACCCCAAAATTTTGCTTAAAACAGTAGATCTGAAGACATTTCAGACAGACCCACGCAGTTAATTTATTGACTTGCCGAAGCATACAAATATGCCAGTGCCAGAAGAGTGTAGTGGAATAGGGTGAATGTTGAGCATGCACAGACGACGACGGAGACCGTTCAGTGGCTTGAGAGTTATATCTTTCATGAAGCCCCTAACCTTAGTCTTGTAGAAAGACATGTGCTAAGGTGGAGGCTGTGAAACATAATTGTCAAAGACTGGGATTTTGCTCGTGGGTTAGTTTTTGATCCTCCAAGGCTATTAGTCAAATTTCCGACCGCCCAACTGTAGACCAGGCATCTGATGATGTTAAGGATCTACGGACCTCTTATGAGGTTACCTTTTCTAAAGCATACGTTAGTTCCACATTCTAGCAAAGCTTTGCTGTGACTAGAACACACATTTACTTCACCACTTTCCTCTACTACCGCGCTGGCGGGTGTGCACTCTAAGGAGCTCTAGATAACTTTTTGGTACCACTAAGGCTACAAGTCGCCATGATACCGAAAAATATTAGTATTTTATTTAGTGTTACTGGTTTTTAAAATTTTTTAAAAATTTTCTCCTTCAAACCTCAACGCACGTCTTTACTTTTTGGCGATTAACTACAATCGCAAGACATTGCGTAGTTGAGAAGCTCGGGGCGCATGTATGTTGCATGCCAATTCCTTCCCCCAACCCAATTTTCCTACATTTCAATTCACTTTTCTTTATCAATTTTATTCCGGTTCAGTTTACCCGCCATTTGGCGAGCGAGTCCGCTGCCATGCGGTGTTTTCCCCAACGGCGCATTGGCCACGCGCCTCAGTTGCAAGTTGCAAGCTCTCACAAGCGTTGGTCATTTACTTACGACACACACATCTACTCATGGTTTGGTGGGTTTGTTTTCTTTTTTTTTTTTTTGTAAATGACCTCTACTTATAAAGATACTTGTTGTTGTTCTTGCATCGTTTGCTGTTATTGTGTTTCTGTTTTTTTTTTTGTTTTGTTTTGGTTTGTTATTCTGCTCCTGCCGTTAGTCTTCCAAAAATGTTGGCAGCATTTTCGACTGTTATGTGTTCAGCTTGTACGCTTGTTTGTGTGTGAGTGTGTGAGTGTGTGCATAATATGATGTGCAGCACATAGCAATGCAACAAGAAATTGGAATTTGGTATGCCATTTGTTGGACGTAGGTCAGAGGGCCAGTGTCGGGTGCCGAGTGCCGGGTGCCGAGTGGTTGAGGTGGAGGAGGTGCAGAAGATGATGGAAGGTAATGTAGCATTTATGCAGCATGCGGCAGGAATTTTCAATAACTCGAGGTGAAATTCTCTCAGTAATCTGAAATTTAGTGCCGCTCTGAAGGTTGACGTGCATCCTGTAGCGGACGCACACCAGTGAGGGTGTATATGTATGTATATATGTATATGCCGTACATAACACATTACATATATGTAAGTGTGTTCACTTTTTCTGTTTTCTAGTGTTTTTATTCCACGTTTTAAGAACCGTCGCTTGTAGAATTTTGTAAATAATTTTACTGTGAAGAATATTTTGTAATTTTTGCTTTCGATTATTTAATTCTATGTTTTAATTCAATTAATTTTATTTTAATAAAAAATCATAATTTTTGTTACTGAAAAACAAAATAAGTATAAATAATGAAACGCAATAGTTTTTACCCTCATGGGGCCAATTTTTACTCTTAGCCATAGAAACGTAAGAAACCCTTATGTAAGATGCAGCAACTAGCTTGTGTGGAGCCTTAGGTGTCGGGTAAAAGACAAAAGGCTTCAGCGAAACATTTCTGGGTTCCCTGAAGTCTAAAGTGCAGTTTGCTAATCTGAGCAGTCGACGCATCTTGACCCCTCCTATCTTTTTCAGGTCTTCAAAGGATGACGCCCCTAGAGATTTCAACCTACTTCATCAAAGTGCGGGGCATTCGCAGAGAAAGTGCTTATTCCTGTCTGCATCTTCTGCAAAGATTATTAGATGGTGTGCCTCTCTCTCTCTCTCTCTCTCTGCGTGTCTGCGAAATAATAAATGGTCGTGTATGAAGACTTACACATGACCTTCTTCGCTTCCATTCTGGTCATATTGTCCTAGCCACATTACATGAGTTGAGACTTCTTCATCTTAATTTTGCATCTTTGTATGAGTTTAGAAGTAGTGATCGGCTTGCCCAAACTCTACCATGATGGTGAAAATGGAAGGGACGTGCTCGTGCAAGTCCCTGCATGCTCATCCGCCATCTCATTATCCGGTAAGTTACTGTGACCCGATATCTATGCCAGGTTCAGAGAAAACTGCTTAGCAATCTAAGTGATCCACGGTAGCTCTTCATTTCTTTAGATTTTACTCTTACAGACTTCAGAAATCGTACTGCACCCCGGCCAGCCGAGAAAATATGGATACGATTACCCTTTAGTATCATTGATTTTAGACCATTGGGAGCTTCATGTATGGCCACCAATATTAACTCAAACCACTATAGTGCTACAGTGATTCGGTAAACAAGAGGATTAATAGATACCATGTTCCTTGGAGTAAACTCCGCCACCGACCCTGTTATATAGTTTTGACCCGTCCGTATAAAATACAATCGAGTCGGTGCTTGCTGGTATTATCCTCAAAAGTTTCTGTCCTATCGCCATTTAAATTTGTGCAAAATTAAAATCTACTCGCCTTGCGGGGATGTACGCTGGGTTCGAGATCAGTCGGCTCCAATGAAAAAGAGACAACAGCCTTGGATGTCTCGTCCAAGAAGTGCGAGCACGTACGTGGTGGAATTTTACCAAGAATTTAAAAGAGAAGACCATGATGTTTGAGCGTGAAGAGTTTGAGAAATTGGCCCACAAAGGTAATGAACGAAAGTTCTGCCGCAAATGCAACTGCTGTGTAAACTGACTTAAACTGCACCAAAAGCTCCGTTAGGATCGAGAACGGACTCTCCGAGACACTCGATACCAAACGAGGTTTCAGATAAGGTGACTCATTAGAGTATGCCTTCTTTAATCTATTGCTGGAAGAAATAGTACGATTTGCAGAGCTGAATAGAGAAGGTACAATCTTCTATAAGAGTGTACAGCTGCTGGCGCCTCTCTCTCTCTATAAGGTGCACTCCGTACGTTCCTATATTTAGTATTGAATAGGACGGTGAAAGGAACGAGTCAAGAAGGCGTCATCAACGATGGAGAACTGGGTGGGAGACAATGTATCTGGAAAGACTGGGAGTAGCATTCAGACGACTGATGCTCAGCATCGAAATAACACAGTCTATAGCGTTAAGTCAAATTGCCATATACCAGCTGCAAATCTTGTAGTCAGAGATATGCAGCGAATGCAGCGAATGTACATAACTCAAATCCGTTTTCTATGTCTTCGCAAATGGCTCTAAAATTAATGACAGAGTGGTAATTGCAGCCAACTCGAAATGTGACCATTCAGGTCTCACTTTCAGAAAAAACGAAGTCGGTATTGGTCTCAGTGCATAAGGAGACGATTAAAAGATTTTCGGAGAAAGGTCCCGCTTCCAGCATCGAAGGCAAAGAGTTAGGCATTGAGTTGGCTATACGTGAGGTTCTTTCGGAAGAGTTTCTCTGAGAACAATATAACATGAACGCGATAGATTTTAGAGTCATCAAGTTAATGTTCTTTAGAAACGCGTAAAGGAATGTTAAGTTATGTGCATAGTAAACGACGAGAAGCTAGGTAAGTTTGCACCATTCGCGGTAATGAGTTCAGAATCCATGCTGCTAGTAGGACTTCGAAGCATTTTCTGTCTTTTAATGAGGTCTGGCTATTGAATATCCGACTTCCTAGTGCTCGACAGATAAAGGCTGATCATATTTGATGCGAATATATATGTATATATGCATACCGCTGAAACGATTTTCGGTCGAGCTTCTCCTCCAATTAGTGGTTTTGCGTCTTGATGTTTTTCCAACAAATGGAGGGACCTAAAGTTTATACTAAACCGTCTCCGAACGGCTGATGTTTTTTTTACGAGGAGCCTTTATTTCACGACCGAAACACACTTGGAGAAGTGAAAATTCTCTGCTGAGGGGCGACCGCAATTAGAAAACTTAAGTTAATTTTTTATTTACATTAATTTACCATAACTTTTGGATGTTGGTGGCACCGGGATTTGAGCCCGAGCCGTCCGAATGTCACTACCACTCGCCTACCGTGGCCGCTTGATGCGAATAGGCTTATTTAATCAGCAATATACAAAGGGCTCAAGTGCCTACTTCGATTTTCTGGGAGAACAATGTCTCAGCCGGGTGTGATGGCAATAGAAATTCATATTGTAAATAGTAGATTCAACAAATAAAGCGAATCTTTCTCTATTTTGTATTTTATCAATTCTTCTAAAATTCACTTCCACCAATCTAATACTTGTATATTTGTTAGTATATACACCAATGTAAGTGAATCTTAAGAAGTCCAAATCAGAGTATAAGATGACAGAAGCAATAAAACGGTGATAATAACGGCCAAATTGTGTACTTAGAGTAGAGTAGAGTTCAAGAAGAATGAAATACAATATAATAGCGACCGTAATAAAATAGTAATTCACAGAAAGAAATGAGGAATCAACAAACCAAGAGCGGAAGGACAAACGAGAACTTCAAAGATCCTGCAGAGTGAAGACGCCAAAGCCAACTATAACCACCTAAAGCGAACCAATGCGGGGTCATTATGGTGAAACAATGCATGTGGAAGATGAGCATGGAGAACTTTAAAACATTTGAAGCGTAAAGTGACTCAATTTACGCCAAAGTCAAGTTAACT